CATCAACACAGAGTTGTCGCCCCGCTTGGCCCGAGCATACCAGCCAGGTTCGCCCGTGCGCCACAATCTGTCGCGGCGCACATCAACCCCGCATCCTCACTAATCGCGCTAACTTCCAAATGAATAGAGAGACAACTAATCACGCTTGCGGAATTTATAGCATGCATGCTTGTGCGTGAAACCCGGGATTATGCCTAAGTGAGAGGAAGGGGAAGAGAAGAAAGTGCCTATGTCTGCATGGCCAGGCCGCGGCGTGGGGGATGTAACCACACTCCACCCATCGATCCGGTCATGCAGTCACTCAGGCCAATTAGGATGGAGGACGAGGGATGCGCAACAGAGAGGAAGAGGCGGGAAAAACATGATAGAGTCGAGAAGAAGAAGTTCAGTTACACTCGCGCCCGCCAAAAATTACAGTTACGCACAAGATTAAGGGCGCGATATAGTTAGAGCCCAGTCCCCACCGCGGCGAGACGTGAGTAAGCAAGAAGCGCGGTGCAGCAGAAATTTCTAAGGTTTCAAAATTCCTGTCTTCCAAAAGGAAAACAATTCGGAGAGCCCGCGGGGGCTCGACATCAGTTTGAAAATTTGAAACAACGTTCCCGCGCGACGATCGTGCCAAAATTCCCGGTTCCCACAGCAGAAGAAGAAAGAAGCAATGGCAACAGTTATCCTTTTGCGCCCGCCAAGGCACGGTCGTCTTAACTGCTTACCCGGGACTTTCCCGACCCTAGTCCGAAAGTCCAAAAAGAGAGAAGCGAGGATATCCATGCAACTTGCCCGGCCAACCCATCCCCATGTTCCTCGCCCGACCGACCCGTCTGAGCCCGTGAAGCAGCTTTGCGCAGAAAGTCGCGCGGTTACGGGAAACAGTTCGTCACATCCGTGCTATAGCAGGGCCGGGGGTGGGGGTCGAAGCAGGGGCGGGGGTTGTTGGTGGGGTGCGGGGTGTGGGGTCCCAGAGGGGGTGGGCACGTGTCAGCGGGTGTCAGAGGGTGTTCAGAGGTGAGTGGGTTGCGGGTGCGGGGGGGTCCGCCTAGGGTGCTGGGCACCGCTGGCGGGGGGTGCAGGTCCGCGGGTTTGTGGTGTTGAGGGTGGAGGGAGGCCCAAGGCCGGGGGAGGGGTTGGTTGTCCTGGTTGCTGGGAGAGGAGTAGTGGAGGTCGGGGTTGCGTGGAGAGCAGGGGAAGGGGTGGTATAGGGGGGGTATAAGTGTATTGAACCAGCTCTGATACCAAATTGCAAGGAATATGAGCGAGGGCGATACCATTAGACAGAAATCCAGATTGGGAAATCACGAAGTAGCGAAGATAGTCATGTACCGAGTAGTGAGCACAATGCACCAAGATACCATCCAAATAAGAGCAATACAATGAATTGGTGTGCCAATGTTGGCCTCTCTGGTCTTACCAACACAGCATGCGTTCTCTATCTCTCCTCATCACACCCTGTCTTCCCTCTCTGCATGCGCCTCCTACCCGAAGACCACCATAGCCATCACCTGCCTGCACCCCAGAAACCCAACTATGGCTGCCGTGCGCCCGCTGCCCACAGTGCTTATGCTGCTGCTCGTCCTCGAGTGCAGCAGTATGGTCGCAATGCTCACCAAGGCGAGAATCCGAAGTCTGGACAGGGCACTTTCCTTTATGGAAAGCGCTGCCCTGTCTGGCTGTGTGGGCCTGGCTGGACGAGTTTCCAGTAGCTTCCAGTCGAGCCCCAGTGTCTGTGCCCAGGCCCACCTTTGCTGTTACGGGCCTGGGCACTTTACAGTTGGGAAGGTCCAGGCAGCCTTCCAGGCTGCAAGTGTTTGCCGCATTCCCATTGGCTTGTCATAGATGTGCGTGATGTGTCCGCATCACACTGCGTGTGCCCAGGGTCCAACTACCCCCGGGCCGTGGGCTCAACTGTACGACGCATCTGCTTCGTTTGGAAAGCACCAGGAGAGGCTCACGTTGCTATGTAACCAACTGGAGTGCTGCAACTGTCTGATAACCGACATAAGGAAGAAATCTCCAAAATAGGGTTCTCGTGGATATTCTTGTCCGCCTTCACTTAGGGCGGGCATGAGGCTCTCTGGGGGCCGCAGCCCAGAACACTTGCATGTCTGATAAGGCCCCCGTGAGGGCTCATTCCTCGCCGTACTAGTCTAGCATAGTTTATCTATTTTGTATGGTATTGAATCCTAGACTGCGGTCTTTCCCCGAATTTAACGAACCCTAAGTCTGAATGTGTACAAGCTATCTTTCCAGTCCGGTGAAGCCAAAAATGAGGGTGCGTTGTGTTCGGGGAAAGACGGTAGTGTGTTGAAATTGTACAGTCACAATGAGATGGTGCGTTCTGCTCGGGGGATGGGTGGCAGAGAGAGAATTTACAATTTATAGAGACCTATGCGTGGCCACACCGTTTGTCCATGTGGCCGCCAAGACAGATCTCCACCTGTGTATGTCCACGTGGCAGTCTCATCACACGGCTAAGCTGCCACAGTACATGTCCACGTGGTCGCAGCTCACATGTCCCACACGCGGTCACAGCACAGCTGTCTGCGTCACCACAGTCCAGACGTCCACGTGGCCGTGTGGACGTGTGTTGTCCACATGGCCACAGAATGGACGCGTCAGATTTTTGTTTTTTTTGTTTTCACAGAATCAGATGGCCCTAATAGAAAAAAGAAAAAAATACCGCCAATGATTGCTCGAAAAGTGCACTATTGCCAACGGGCCTAGCACAGCTAGTACACACCCCCATGTGAATTGCTGAAATGCAGACCAAATTTCGAAACCAGAGGAAGGGATAAAACAATTGTTTAATCTGAATTAACTGGTGCCGGTCAGTTCGATGATGATAGCTCAAGGCCGTCACCTTTATAAAAAAAAAGAAGTGAAAAAAGGAAAAAAAAAAAAAACAGACGAAATTGCACGATTTTGGCTGCTGCCATGTTCCTTCACCCCCCGCCTGATCAAGATGAATGTATATAGGCTATGTTCCCGGTCGGATCTGTACGTGCGCTTGTGTTCTGGGGAAGAAGCTCCCGTCTTCACCCGAGCAGAACGCACTGCCATTATCAGACAGCTGTGATTCCAGACTGAAAGTTGTCCCAAACACAGCTGTAATTACAGTGCGCTCTATTCGGGGGAAGATGGTAACAGTGATATCGTGTGATTTTCTTTATCAACAGAGGGCACCTTGCAAGGACAAAGGGCGGGAGCCAAATGACAGCAATCCAAATTGCAACAGCACATTAAAAGCCACGTAGCACCAGCCACCTTGCATCCAAAAAAAAAGAGAGAACACGATGTATCAGTCGGGATGATGCGTCTTATAGAAATGTACGACACACCAAAACTCAAATTTGTGTGACACATTCATTCAGTATGTCATTGAGCATACTCGTTGACAAAGGGAATAGACAGTAAGCCTGGCATAAAGAATTCTTCACTATCTTGTATAAGATACCACTAATCAGATGGAAGGCCTGATATGATCGCCATCATCGCCCACCCCTCCGCTCTTTGTCTCCTCCCGCTCACCCGCCAGGGCCTCCACCCTCAGTGCGAGTTGGTGAATGCGGGTCTCAATTTTGCGGACACTGCCTCCATTGGAGATTGAAGATGAGCTGGAACTTGGTGTCCTGGGAGTCGAGCGCCATCACAGCCTTCTGACCCTCCACTCTCACCACCGTCTTGATGTTCAGGTTGGGAGCGTTGTTGCACTCGCTCCAGACAAGCGTCAGGAAGTCGTCCGTGAACTCGAAGCTGCCAACCTTTGGGCCTTTGATTTTGCGCTCGACCATCGCCGTCCCCGTTTGTCCGGAGAAGTAGTAGTGCGTCTCGTAGATGCCGTCGGAGTTCTCGGCGATGTCAGCGAACCCGCGGCCCGTGGCCTGACCAATGGAGACGCTCCAGCCATCCGGGTAGYTCATRRAGAACGACATCTGGCAAGACTTCCTCTTGTCGGCGAGMGACCCGTCCGTGGTCGCAACCATCCCGCCGAACATGAAGGTGACAGACTTGTAGTCGTTCGACAGCACCCAGTTGGTGTTGTCGTAATTGCAGCCATTGCCTGCGTAGGTGACATAACCGATGGTCACCTCAGTCGGAGTCTGCGCGCTCGCCTGAACTGCAACAGCGATCAGCAAAAGAACGGCCGCAAGAACCACCTGACGCGCCATTGCCCTCTATCTCTGCCTCCACTCCCCCTCAACAAGCTTCACGGTGCACGGAGAATCTGAGAGAAACGCGGTCCTTGGAAGCCACAAAGGCAGGCGGGAGGCGGACCTGGCTGCTCCTCCGTTGAAAGCCCCACTCCTCAACGTCTCTGCTATTCGTGTGCAAGCAACGAGAGCACCGATTGCGAGTGTGTGAGTGATCTAAGTACGCTTGTCTAGTGTATGCCCAACCCAGGCAGTTCGGTTCGCTTTTATACAACGTCATTCGCTCGTAGCAGTCACTTAAGTTTGAGGTCCGCCTCGATCCAGCAGTCATGTGCTCTGACGGGGTGGCCCTGAGTGAGTCACAACACGCTCGTCTCTTTCGGGCCAAATGCTGTTACGTTCCTGGGGATAAATTAGCACGACCTAACTCGAGGCGTTTTTTACTTGTTTCAGACCGGCAATGCCGGTCAGCTTCATGCTCTGTGGCGGCCAGGGGGAGCAAGTTTTCTTTCTATTTTTAATTGAGCAGTACTTGTACACTCAGATCGTGCGTATGGCCACTGGTCTCTGAGGTCGAGGGTCCAGAATGAAGGCAAGTGGGACGTGCCCCTAAGTGGTTGTTTCGTCTGGAGGATGACATGGAATATCAGCATGCTCTCTGAAGCAACACACCCCTCTCTGCAATTGGTCCAAAAGAAGAAAGAAAATGAAAGCTCACACGGAACAGTATTTCTCAGCAGTGCTTGGCTTGAGCGTCGTCATCACCTTGTTCCAGAAAGGAAATCACAAAACGAGAAAAAAGCATATCCCAGGCGACTCGCCAAAGCCAACCATTGCCCACGCAGCCGGGGAAAGTGGGGCTGGGAAGCCTTGACCCGCTCCGCGCCTCGTGACGGCAGGAGTAGGAAAATATTTCCTGCCGAGAGATTTGAATCCAGCCCAGCGAGGTTTGAATTTTGAAACGTCCGCAGTGGCGGCACTACCGAAACTAGTACGAACCTTACAGCTCTTGCGGCTCGGTTCATGCTCTCGAGACAAAAAACAGAGCTGTCATAGGGGGAGACCACAGTCCGGGGCCTATGCTCCCACCTACAGTGTTCCCCCGAACAAAACGCACGTATGTACTATTCAACTTTCCCTGAAAAAGTAGATTTCTCATAGTTGCCCCCAGAAATCCAATTAGTACGGACGTATTTCCTATTTAAATAGTACGCACGTTTGTTCTATTCGAACGAATTGGTGTTCTGTTCAGATAGAACACATGCTTCCAGGTGCGTGCCCTGCAGTATTCCGCCCTCTCTCTCTCTCTCTCTCTCTCTCTCTCTCTCTCTCTCTCTCTCTCTCTCT